AATATTTATGAGCCATGGGAACTACTATCTTAACAATGATTTTTATGTGATTTTGAATAGTAGCCGTACAACAAAAGCATCGAAATCTATGATTATAGATTGTGAAATGTGAAAATCTGGTATATGAGTATTATATATGCGCAAACAAATGTAATGTTATCGTTTTGGTGACGTTGTTAAACGCCCTTAAGAGTTCTGTCAGTAATTTTGACAGCAACGGCTGCTATGTGCTATTAACATTTGTGGCACTCGGGTGTCATGTTAACCTATACGAGCCTTTGAGTTATGAAGAGATGACAAGTATCCTCTGATATTTTCTTTCCTAACTTTACACTAACTTTACAGTGATGCTATAGCACACAGTGCCCACATAGTGGCGATGTTCTCAATCAAATGAAATCAGCTGAATTTCTTTGAAGAAAATCTACAACATACTACACCTTCAACCTTTTTGTCTTGAAGGCCCCCCAGAGTTCAACACAATGTTCAAAGGCCCCTCACATAAGCTAGAATATTTCTTCCAGTATGTTCTGCTATAATACTTTTTTTTATTAACAGAAACCTCACGTGTCCATTCTTTTCAAATTATCAGATTATTTTTGTGTTAATGTTTAAATTATTCTGTTCCTTAAAGGGGTCATATGATGCGATTTCAATTTTTCCTTTCTCTTTGGAGTGTTACAAGCTCTTGGTACATAAAGAAGATCTGTAAAGTTGCAAAGACTAAAGTCTCAAATCCAAAGAGATATTCTTTATAAAAGTTAAGAGTTAAGAGCCCTCCTAAAACGGCTTGTTCTAACACGCCCCCACATATCTACGTCACGATGTGGGAAGCATTGCATAACGCCGCCCAAATGTTCACGCAATAAAAGAAGGCGTAACTTTTATTCTCGCTGTAGTATTGTTGTTGCTGCAGCCATGTCCTGAAGACGCTGTGTGCTTCGTTGTGAAAGCGAAACTACTTTGTTTGGCCTTCCAAAAGAGGACGATATCCGCTTCGTCATGCCTGGAGCTGATCCGTGCTGGTCGCTGAGGAAATACATCAACTTCGCGCTATCGATCGCCGGATCGGCTTTCACCGTGGACGAAGCGGAGTCCAGCCCGGGGTCATCACATGTGGTTGCCGCAGGCATCACAATATGGTAAGGGACTTAACATTTCCGTCACACGCTTGAGGTATTCGGCCAATCACAACGCACTGGATAGCTGGCCAATCAGAGCACACCTTGCTTTTTCAGACCGATGAGCTTTGTAAAAATCGACGCGTTTCAGAAAGGCGGGGCATAGAGGAGAAACAATAATGTACAGTATGTGGAAAATAATGTGTTTTTTGAACCTTAAACCGCATAAACACATTTCATTACACCAAATACACAAAATAATGTTCTTTTTAGCAACGTCATATGACCCCTTTAATAACAAAAGTGTCATTTTTATATTTTATTCATTTACATTCTATTTTATTATTATTATTATTCGCAATTTAATTTAGTCTAAATCATCCTGCAGACCCCTTAGATTTTTGCTGAGGCACCCTAGTGGGCCTCGGCCCCTGGTTGAGAACCACTTATTTTTGTGAATATACTATAAAATATGCATACATATACTCTCATGACTGGCTGCGTTATTGCTCTTTATTGTACAGAACATTATTCAGAAATGTAATGATGGCACTAAAGGCAAATATATTACCATAGTGCATATCTAAGCAATAATCATTCTCACTTTCACATTTTTCATGTATCAGCTGAACTCAAGTTTCACATTTATCTCAAAAGAATATTTTAGAGCAGTTTTATACTTAAAAATTATTATGTGTGGTGTATTGGACGAGTGCTTGGGTCAGCTGGCCAATCAGAGCAGACTGCACTTGTCTGAAGGAGGGACTTTGTAGAAAACGACGTGTTTGAGAGAGGCGGGGCATAGAGGGCCTACAATAATGTACAGTATTTGAAAAATAATGTGTTTTTTGAACATTAAAGCATGTCAACATATTCTGTTACACCAAATACACAAAATAATGATCTTTAAAAAAGCATCATATGACCCCTTTAACAGTTTGTAAAAATTATTTTAAAGTCTGTATCCTTCATGAAAGTAACATGTAACAGATTACTTTGAGCTGGGTGGTCTTCTCACTGCATTTAGATAAAAATGGCGAGTTGATGACAGAGATTTCATACCAAGTCACTCAAACTGAATATTTCCAGAAACCATTCAAAGGTTATAAGAAAACAGACAGTGAGCCTTAAACTATACTACTTGAAAATAAAAATACACATAAACACTCACAAATGCACACACCCACACACATTCATGCAGAAGAACTCAACACCACCACGGCTATGACTGAAGAACAGTTTCACACTTCTGTAAAAGATTTAATAGTGAATACATTTGAAATACTTCTTAATTTGTTGTTAATGTAAAAAACTAAATCCATTAATTGCAATACAAACACATTCATTGCTACCTATCTGCATATTTTGGGTATTGGGTAACATGTTAAACTAATGCTGTCTCAGACATACCATGTGACATTCTTGAACAGCAGGGGAGTGACAGAAGCGTAGTTCAGATTATGAATGGAAATGAGACCAGAGGGACTGATGAAGCCTCATTGAAGTCAACAGGAGACTGTATTAGCAACAGCTTCATGCATGTAGAGCAGCTGGAGAAATAGAAACGGCCACGGTTGTGATAACAGGGATTGTTTGCCTTACGTAATATACAGTAGCCATGTTGTACTTGAGATAAAGGAGAATCTTTCTGAGATGTAAATGTAGAAACAAATTAATTGTGAAGTTCAGAGAGAGAGGGTTCAGGGTAAACTGAGAGTGAGATATAGAAAGCGAGAATGTGAACCAGCAGCGCTGAACAGAAGTTTGACATGGAGAGGATGGTTGTATTACAAATGGCAAAATGTACAGTTTAAATACCATTGAAAAAAAGCCAATAAACAAACAAGCTAAATAAAACAAAAAAGAGGGGACAATTTTAAAGTAATAACTCTAAACTGTTCTCTTTTATATATTCATAATTCTTCTTATCCAGCAGTGTTTTGAAAGTGCTGGTATTTATACCAGGATATTTTCCTGTTTGCATTACTTTTTTGTGTTTTCTGCATTCCGGTTTGCCTTTATTTGGAACAATTTGCTTTGGCAGAGAACAAATATATGCCAGTTTTGTCTGAAATGTAAGTTATCCGAAATGAATTGCTCATTTATGGAACTGTTGCACAAAGCAATATCAGAGATTCTTTTATTAAAGGAGATGGCAACCTTCAAATCTGTATTACTGAAGGAAGTATAAAGGTCAGTCTGAATCACATGCACCTAAGCTAATAATATAATGGCGCTTGTGTGATTGAATCCATGTTTTACACAATGTGCATTCATTACACTTTTAAATGAACGTATAGTTTCATTTCAGTAGCCATTGTACTATTAGAAAATAGCAGTCAATTTATTACGTGACATTACATAACGTGATCTGTTTCCACAAAAAGAAGCTGATTTTTCAGTGTACGATTTTCCTGTTAAGAAGTGTTACGCATTATTCCATGCTCCTCAGTACAAAAAAGCTATTTTTGCTGTAACACTTTAGAACTTCAGAGCTTTGTCTAACATAATACACTCATTAACAGAATGTTAGTTAGAATGCTACAAATTAGTCATTAAATTTAGTAATTTTTATTTAAAAAAAAGTAGTTTATTAATAAGTTACACACGGCACACTAGGTTTTTTTTAAAATAAATGATTCCTTGCATTTAGCAAGAATGCTTTAAATCGATCACTAATGATGGTAAAGTTTTGTCATCAGTAAAAACGAAATTGTATTTTAAAATATATTAAAATAGAAAGCATTTATTTTAAATTGTAATAATATTTTACAATATTACTGTTTTTACATTTTTTGACTGAATAAATGCAGCCTTATTGAGCATAAGATACTTCTTTCAAAAACATAAAAAAATGTACCCACCCCAAACTTTTGAACAGTACGTGTTAAAAACCAAAACTCTAAGCAATTGCATTTATTTTTATCTTAAGTGGTGCCCATCTTTAAAAATAAAAAAATAAAAATGAAAGTGAAAAATAATTTTTTTATTTATGTACGCATGTATGTATGTGTTTTTAGGTTACCATCTTCACAGAGTAAATTAAATTATATTAAATCTAAAGCAATCATCTAAACCAGAGGCATCCTGTGAAGTCTTTTAGTGCTGTGATTAATATATAAAGATATAAATATAGCTCATCCAAATTTAAAGTTAAAACATATACCCAAGACTACATTTCATATATTATTTTTGTAAGATTTTTTTTTTATTTAATTTTTCCAAAATACTTTCAGCTGTTTACATGAATAACAAATATGCGTGACTGTTAATGTCACAGTCCAAAACCAAGTAAATTGATTACACTAGGATCATTTTTATTCTTTCAAAAGATTTCTACCACATTGGACTGTGTATTTTTAAATACTTCCTAAAATGGACATTATGCTATATCACAATGGTAATGCTTTGGTCAAGAGCCCAGGAGTAATTAGATTTCAAAACTGTAAATGTCTTGTTATCTTCTTCAATCTCACTTGATCCAGCAGAGCTGCTGTTCTGCACAGTAGGAGGAATTTACTAAGTACGAAAGTGATAGCACTAGTAGGAAGAAGGGAGATCAAGAGAGAGAGAGAGATGAGGATTAGGAAAGAGACTGCAGTGAACAGCAGGAACTCAATAAAGTGTTGCAGATAGACTGACTGGCAGGTGGAACACATTGGGACGCTTTACTGACGTACAAGAGGAAAGAGAGCGAGTGAGACATCTGGGAAGGGGCTGCATACCTCACTGTTGTAGTACATGGCTATCTGGGATGGAAACATGCAGAGGTATTTTAAAGGGAAAAGGGGAGAGCGAGGGAGAGAGAGAGAGAGAGAGAGAGCAGAGGAAGGTGGCAGGCATGAGTGAGGGCCGCCAGACTCATTGAGGATCAAGAGAGAGAGAGAGAGCACAGAGATAAAAATACTCTGTAGCAACCGACACTCACACTCGCACGGTGACATCTGATTAACTGCTTGTCGATCTCAGTTGTATGTTGATAACGAGCAACAGACAGTTTGACTCAGATCTCAGTCCTGTACAGATGGGAAAGACAGTGAGAGAGAAACTGACTGTTTACAAGACGCCCTGAAAGACCTGCAGCGTTGGACAATGACTGTGAGTCAAATACTGCTCTTATGGAAAATTTTCCATTTCATAACAACACACATTAACTAGTACCTAATTGTTACCAGAATTACTATGAATAAATAATATAAAAAATATGTAAGAATAACACACACACACACACACATATATATGGGCTATATGTAGGATTTAACAGGATAAAACCTGAAATGCCATGCAATCTAAAGCCGCCATTCACAAAACACCACTTGTTAATATATAACAAATGAAAACATTCATTGCTGATTTCACTAATGGTGTGTGAATGGCAGCTTTACAGAAGTAAATCATGACTGAAAAACATTTCAGGTTTTATCCTGCTAGATCCTTTAAAGCTGTGTTATACACCTGTGGTTAATATGAAGCGTTCCAGCCGTTCTCCGCTGCACATATCCAATTGCATGTCACTGATAACCCATTCGAAATCATTTTGAAATACAAAAGTAAAAAGGGTTGTCACTGCAATTAAATGGGAAAGGATGGTTGAGTTTCACAGTATATATGTACAATACTGATCAAAAGTTTCTGATTAAGATTTTTAATGTTTTGCTCAAAAAGGATACATTAAAAAAACAGTAATATTGTGAATTATTATTACAACTTAAAAAAAACTGTTTTGTATTTAAAATATATATATTAAAAAATGTAATTTGCTCCTGTGATGGCAAAGCTGAAATTTCTGCAGTCATTACTCCAGTCTTCGGTGACATGATCTTTTGGAAATTACTATAATATGCTGATTTCGTGCTGAAGAAACATTTCTTTTACTATCAATATTGCAGGCAGTTTTTGCTGCTTAGTATTTTTGTGGAAACCATGATACACATTCAAAATCTGGGTTAAGTAAGATTTAAAAAAAAAACATTTATAAAAAAGGTCACATTAAATAAGGACGTATTAACCTGAATAAAAGTGACAGTAAAGACATTAAGAATGTTATTTAAGATTTTGATTTCAAATAAATTCTGTTCTTTTGAAATTTCTATTTATCAAAGGTTTCTAAGAAAATAATAAAAAGAATAAGAGCCATTAATATTAATTGACTATCAATAATAATTGATAATAACTGAGCACCAAATCTGCTTATAATAACTATTTCTAAAGGATTGTGTGAAACTGAAGACTGGAGAAATGGCTGCTAAAAATTCAGCTTTGAATCACATGAATAAAATACATTTTAAATATTCAAATAGAAAAGTTATTTTATTTTAAATTGTAATAATATTTCACACTATTACTGGTGAGTGTAAGAGACTAAAACCAATCAGATGGATGGATAGATAGATAGATAGATAGATAGATAGATAGCCACTATGTGCAAATATTGCAGTATTTACTATACTTTTGTTTTTCAAAAGTATTCTGAATGGTTAATCAATGCTAGATAATTGTGATATGGTTTCAAAAACTGATTTACAAGGGGTTGAATGGGTAACGTCCTAAAAAAGTTTGTAACGCCTAACAGCAAAACGCAGAGGATATTCTTAAAATTCCGTTTTAAAATCAACATTAGTCTTACTGTACATTACAGACATGAAGGTTACATGGAAAATGTAACAAGCTAGAGCCTGCACGTCTACTATCAAAGGCCACTGCCAGAGACGTCTATCAGTAAGATAAAGGCTGTTCTCAGTGCCTAGCAACGCACTCATACAACCACTCCACCGGGCCTACATCACAGACATATAAAGTCGTAACTGAATACCACAATTACATGGTCTTTGATGGTTCTGGAAGCGCATGGTGCTGCTCCTCAGCTGCATGGCGTTAGTGAAGGTTACATAGACTTGCATAGTAAAAACACGAACACAGACGCACATAGGACTGGGGTGACCCACACTTCTAGGAACTTTAATCAACAAATGTCCCTTATAAACGTATAGGGTGTAATGTAAACATGAGCTGCTTGCTTTGTGTTATGTAAAACACACTTGTAATATACACCCAAGCTATTTCAGGGCCGTCAAGGTGTTAATGGGCTTATGGTATTGTTTGACCATTCTCTGTCTGACATAAAGGTGAAGGCTGGTGAAAGAACTGACAGATGGGAAGTTCAGCTATTATTATTACACAGCTCTCTGGAATACAAGGCACACTTGCCTAATTGATCATTGTCTCAAGAAACCAATTTGTCTTTTCTTTAATTTCATGCCCATTTATTTATTTGGTAAGCAACCATATAATAAGTGGGATAATGTACTGTCAGCCAATTATTATTACAAAATATATACTATACTGGTTATCTGTTAATATTAGAGATCATAGGTCGATATTGGGTATTTAAATGTGCTTGTTCAATTACAAATTGACATTTTCTATTTAGAGTACCTTTGCAGTCATGTAATATTAACTTAAAGTTAATATTTAAAAACACTAATGATTTTTAAAAATACATTTATTGTATTATTTTGTAAAAAAAATTTGTCTGGCTTATTAGGATTTATAATATTAATAAATGGATATCCATGTTGTATACTCCGTGTTATAAATTTGAGATGCTTGTATTCAATTTGCATTTAAAATAACTGATTAAAAACTGATTATTGAATAACTGATTATTTATCGGTTATAACATGAAAATATTTATCAGCTTATTTTTAATAATTGTCAACGTAAATTTTTACAAAGATTACATAAAACAAAAGTGGAGGCTTCACACAGCCTACTGATTGAAAATGATCACTGCATGATTACAATTTTGCTGTTGTTTTGTTGTCAGACTGCACCTAAAGAACTGGACGAGCTGTGCTACCTCACGGCTCAGTCCATGACACCACTGGTGACATCACAGCACTTCAAGCTCATCAAAAAGCTGGGAGAGGGCTCGTACGGCAAGGTGATGCTGGCGGTGCATCAGAGGAGAGGTCAGTTGATTTGTGCTCACCTGTTTGGTTCATGTTGAGCACTGTGACAAACAAGACAGGGTGTTCTTCTTACAAGCACTTCTTACTTTAGCGATCTCTGAACTTCCAGGAACCCCAATGGCTCTGAAGTTCTTCCCCCGCCGCTCCACCACTCTCCAAGCTTTCCTGCGGGAATACAATCTCTCCGTCTCCTATTGCACACACCCTTCTTTAACACGGGCTCTAGGCATCTTCTACTCCACTCCTTCTCACTATGTCTTTGCCCAGGAGGCTGGTCTCTATGGCGACCTGTATGATGTCATCGTGTCAGAGGTCAGTAAAACAGTAGACTTGACTGATTTTAATTTCACAAAAAGTTACATTCTGTCATCATTTACTCACCATCAAGTTTGATGCATGCGTGATGTGTGGAAAATTATGATGCATGCGTGATGTGAGGAGCATTTTTCGTAGTGATGTCTTTCCAGGGAACAATGTATCTTTGATTATTCAGGCACGTACATGTTGTCTGATATCCTCACTCCCTGTTCTCATTCTCCTGCCAAAAACAACAGCTCCTATCATCAGCCTTGATACATTAATGCTGTTTAATGGGAGTACTTAGTGCACCGCTGAAGAGCAGATTAAATACAGAACACACAGATCTTCCGTCATCTCATCACTCTTTCCATTTTTACTGGGCTGTATTAGAATAAATAATATTTACAAAGCATCAATACATACAACAAATGAATTAAAAGGGAAAAAAATACATACATACATACATAAATGAAAATAAGGTACCAGTAATGTTTAAATAAATAATCAATATAACAACACCAACAATTGAACAAACAATAATGAAAAACAAGCAAATAAGATAAAATAAATTAATAAATAAACAAACAAACATAATAATTGCAATAACAAGATTAATTTTAAAATTGAAAAATTATATTAATATATAATTACATTAATATATAGGCAAATTATTCTACAAAATAATAATAATAAATGAAAATATACAAATAGTAATAATATTGAACAAGGGTAAATAAGGTGGAATAAAAAAAATAAAATAAAAAATAACAATATTAGTTATAATGAGAAAAAATACAGGTGCATCTCAATAAATTAGAATGTCGTGGAAAAGTTAATTTATTTCAGTAATTCAAATCAAATTGTGAAACTCGTGTATTAAATAAATTCAATGCACACAGACTGAAGTAGTTTAAGTCTTTGGTTCTTTTAATTGTGATGATTTTGGCTCACATTTAACAAAAATTATGGAGTATTCTAATTTGTTGAGATAGTGAGTTGGTGGGTTTTTGTTAAATGTGAGCCAAAATCATCACAATTAAAAGAACCAAAGACTTAAACTACTTCAGTCTGTGTGCATTGAATTTATTTAATACACGAGTTTCACAATTTGAGTTGAATTACTGAAATAAATGAACTTTTCCACGACATTCTAATTTATTGAGATGCACCTGTAAGTGAAGAAAGAAAGAAAGAAAGAAATAATAATAATAATAAAATATAAAACATCAATGGAAATATTATTGGAAAAAAGGAAAATTATAAGGTGCCAGAAATGGAAATAAACAAATATTCAATATAATAATAATAATAAATTGACATATACAAATATTAATAACAATAAAAATGAAAAAAGGAAAAATAAGGTGTTATATAAATAAATAAATATACAAGTCAACAAATAAATAAACAATACTATGTGTAATGTCAATAATTATTATTATAAAATAACATTTTATGTATAATGTTACAACAATATCAAATTATAAAATAATAATTATATAATCAGTATATATAAAAAGCAATCTCTTTCTCTTTTTCTGTAGGAGGGGGTGAGTGAAGAGTCTGCACAGCGTGTGATGTCTCAGTTGAGTGGTGCTGTGTCTCATCTCCATTCTCTTGGCTTTGTGCACCGTGACATAAAGCCAGAGAACATCTTCTTGTGTGACCGTGCTTGTCGCTGGGTCAAACTGGGCGACTTTGGCCTGGCGCGAGCACAGGGGACCGAGGTCCGTGCTGTGTGGTACAACTCCCCTTTCTGTGTGCCCGAGGTGGAGGGCGCCAAGACAGTCAGCGATGCAGAGGAAGCGGAGGACATCTGGATGTCCGTTGAGCCCAGTTTGGATACTTGGGCTTTGGGGATCCTCATATACTGCCTGCTGACGAGCTGCTTCCCCTGGGAGGAGAGCACTTCTGATGACCCTTCCTACTGCAAGTACAAAGACTGGTTCAACCGAATCAAACAGAGAGAGGAGACACAAGACACTGTGAGGGAGGAGAATGAGGCTGAAATTGATGTGCCCCCGCAGTTTGACTCTTTAAGCTCATTCGTCCTCACCTTGCTGAGAAAGCTGCTGAACCCGCTGCCCCGGCTTCGCCCCGGGCCTGATGAGATCCTGTCTTACCTCGGGGGACCTTGGTTACTGAAGACAGAGAAAGAGGAGATGAGGAGAGAGCAGGAGGCACAAGAGGAGGCCAAGAAGATGCATGAGAGAGGAGGGGTGGAAGGGGAAAAAGAGATATTGGGACGGAGGGAGAGATAAAGATTGCGCACGACAGCAATATTATAAACAGATGCACTTTATTTTCAAGATTTTATATAGCGTTTATATTTTGGAATATTATTTTTTTATATCAAAAAAATTGTTTTATTATAAAACTGGAGAACCTTGACACTTGGACAGTGGCCCCAAAAAGTGTTTGGGCAATTGTAGAAGTATTAATATAATTGCATTTTTAAAAAATGACATATAATTATATTATAATTATTCTAAATTTGAGATTTTATATATAATTTGGTCACATATAATATATTTTAATATATTTTATATATTAAATTATATATTTTAAAATTATATTTAAAATGATATAAATGCGGTACCATTCAAACGCTTGGGGTTGATTTTTGAAAGTTTTTGGAAGAAGTTTTTATGCTCACCAAGGCTGCATTTATTTGATCAAAAACAGTAATATTGTTACATGAAACATTATTACAATTTCAAATAACTGTTTTCTATTTTAAAACAAAAAAGCTGAATTTTCAGCAATCTCCAGTGTCACATGATCCTTCAGAAATCATTCGAATATGCTGATTTGGTGCTCAAACATTATTATTGTATTATCAATGTTGAAAACAGTTGCTGCTTGTGGAAACAATGTATTTTTCAGGACTCTGAGGATTTTTATTTTTTATTTCTTTTTGGATTATTAGTGTCTGGACACAGTTAAGTAGACAATTTTTCTTTCAAGAATGACGTAGTGTTCAGATACTTTGGCCACAATAATTCAGTGTTTCTCATATTGAGCTGGTAATACTAAAACCAACAATACAGACTTCTCAAGTGCAATGTATAAGTATTCATTTAACGTGTAGAGAGCAAGGTAGGAATAGGTAGGTGTAGATTAATAATGCTCAACAGATGTGGGTGGAATACATAAACACTGTTTCTACCTCAAACAAGCTGTTTTAATGTACATGGCAATACATGTTTATATAAACATTTACTCTCTTCAGTCTGTTATATAATATGCACTTTCAAGTTGACATCCACATGCTTACGTCAGTATTTGTTGATAAACTATACCGACCTCATCATGCATTATAACGCTTCAGAGCAGACATATTGACAGGCTGGTTCAAATACAGCTCTGCTCCACTCTGAATAGGACAAGAGAAGTGTGAAATGTTAAGCAAACACAGGTACAATGGGACGGGTGTCAGGTTAGTGTTGTTCTGGGATTGACTGGATCAGTTCAGATATGTGTAGTCGACTCCAACTTTCCAGCTGTCCACACTGTTGCACCATCAAGACCACCCTGTCTTTTCTGTAACCAGTGCTTACTTACAAATTGTAGTATATTACAAAATACATGTAGTTGGTAATGTAAACACATAACAGATTTTTAGGTATAATCTGATTAATTTTGGCTACTTGTAGATTACCTTCGACCTAGTTTATAACATTGATTTGAATTGGATATCTTTTATTGATATTATATTGATATGCAAACAGAAAGACAATGTATTCCATTCTTTGTTATTAACAAGTGCATTAAACATTTCATTATGTCAGGACTTCTCAAACTGGGGTTTATGAAGGAACCAGCAGGAGGTTACTAAGTCAATAAGAGGTGATTATTAAATCTTTAAAAATGTTAAATTAAATAAATAATTAAAAAATTAAAACAATAAAAAATAAAAAAAACTATTTTTTTATTTGTTTACCTGCATGTCATGTGACCATCAACAAAACTGTATTATACTATTATACTTATTATTATTAAATTCAGGGAGTACTTCAGGTAATTATATAATGTCAAAAAGGTTCAGCTGACAAAAAAATTTGGGAATCATTGCATTATATGTAAATACAAAATGGGAATTCATTTGTCCATTTTCATGTTTTCGAAAAAAAAAGAAGAAGATAGTAATATATAATTATGTGTAATTATGTGCACTTCCAAAAAAAAATGGAAGACTTTTCAAACACAGCAATAGGTGTTTTTAGATAGAAAATTAAACGATTGTGGAGGAATGATAAATTATGAAGAATTTACTGTCATTTTGTGAATAATCACGTAATCAATAAAAAAGTAACTAAGTATTTTAAATGTAAAATAATCAGATTACATGTGTTTAATTTTTTGAATCTGACTACGTAATCTAGATTATAATCTTACTACTCAGTATTGTCTGCAACCTACAGTTCATGTATTTGATTTTATTTTCTAACATTGTTCAGTGTTTTGATTATTCCTTCATTTAGTCTTCCTCTGACCCCCTCCATGAATCCTAAAGATTCATTATATCAGCTCTGGCCTTCACTATGGGGCCTATGTGAGCCCTTCTGCAGATGGTTTTATAAATAGCCTCAGGTCCATCTATTTAGACTGTCGAGCACATCAGCACCTTTCTGTGTCCCCTCTTTGCACCCTGTGTCTCTCTCCCTGTTCATGTTCAATGTCATCTTGACTTTCCCTCACACCACCTCTTCATCTCTCCTATGAAACATTGTGATCTGTCCTTCTCTGGTTCGGTACAAGGCATTCATTTTGCATGCATTAATACAGTCTACATTAGTTGATGATATTGTTGTATTCTTATAGATGACAAAGCGAAAGAATATTATGTTTCATCAATCAGTGTCACATCATGCCATCAGCTTTCTGGAAATCTGCTTCCCAACACAGTTCAGAGATACACAATATCAGTAGAGTTGCATCTGCATCAATGTTCATAGCTGCAGAGGAACTTCAATGGTAACACGGCCAATGAAACAGACGAGGCTTTCAAAGTGACAAAGGGACCAGGCATCATTCTCTTTTAACAAAAGTTGACAATTTTTCATGACTCAAGCAATAGAAACCACTGGCGATGCAACAAAGTTGAGCTCAGTTTTATGCAAATGAGCAGCATTTAGTCGGCAGTAACCAATAGGAGTGCAGCTCTGCAACCAGATAAAGTTATTCCTGCTTCTTTGTTTACTAACTGGGAAAAAAGGTTAGGCCAGTGTACTAAACTAAGTACTAAACCAGTGAACTAAAACTAAAACTACTACAAGTCACTTTCGTTTATTGAAATAAAACTGAAACAAAATAAAGTATTAGATGAAAAACTTTATCTTTAAAAATTTCCAAATGTTGAAAATATATTTACTATAATTACTTAAACTAAACTAAAAATAAATTCAATTAAAGCAAAATAGAAATATGAAAAATAATAAAAAAATTACAAAAACATATTTACTAAGACAACCTAAAATTAAAATGAAAAATAATAAAACAAAAATAAATGTAATTAAAAATATTAATGAATAGTATATAAACAATACTAATATAGTACTGGCTTAGGCCAGCATAATTTTTTGTGTTAAATGTGGTCTAAACTTGGTTAGCACTGGTTTAGTGTTGGTCTAACATAGTCAAGTTGGTTAATTGAGAGACTAACGCTTAGAAAAGGTTTTCATTACCACCTCATTTTAAATTCTATTTCATGCCATTTAAAATGCATTTAGTTCTTAATTTAATTCTGAATGATGCACAATCTATGATGATTTTTAGTTTTTGTCTTTTTGAAAAATAAACCTTTACCTGGGCACCACCTACGAGACCTGTTTAAACAACACATAGGTCTCAGTTTAATATTGCATGTGTATAAAAAATGTATCTTAATAGTTTTAGTTTCATAAATTTTGCAGCTAGTAAAACTGAATCTCAGACATGAGACAAATGTGCACAATGTCATAAACAGAGATTTGATGGCCAGTAAATTCCAGTGGACAGGGATAGACTCCGCAGGGGACAGCTGGATGGAAGGACACAACAACTGATGAGTGGTGGGAGACACAGATAGAGCGCAATGGATCATGAAAATGACAGGAGAAGAGCTGGACGGTAAGAGCAGAGCCAAGGACAGCAACACGTTTAGCAGAACCTGCTACAAACCTCAGCAGAATGCAGGGATAATGATTACATCGCACAAACATATCAATATACAAACTGGTTAATCTTGATCAATAGCAGTCAACATATGAAACTGATCGTTTGCATTTACAGCAGCAAATACTGATTACTTTTAACAAAATCAGCAGATTCGCAGTCCATTGAAAACAGGTCCAAATATAGCCAAGCCACAGCAGAATGAACCACTGAGCATCTACGAGCTAACTGTTTCTTTCCTAGAAACAAATTGGCTGAGTAAATGATTCAATGACTCACTCAGAATACTTATCACATTTCGCTGCTGTATGTATTTTTATTTTTATTTTTTACTGTACTAAAGCATAAAAACACCATAATACATTTGCAGATATTCAGGATACATGTTAAGTTCACATACTTGTTTCTCTGAAAAAACAATGCTACAGCCAGTTATTCTGCTTTGAAAATGTGCATTCAGTGTCGGAATGCCTGTTGTTGTTTTAGTCTTTGTGATTCCGCCTGTAGTATTTCTAGTATTTCTGTAGTAATACTATTCCACCAATAGTATTTCGGCAGCCTGGGTTGCCAGTTTGCAGAAAACACAGCATACTGCAGCCATGGAAGACAGCAAACGAACTGGGTCAGAGATCACACATTCTACCTGACCTAAAAAGCATTACCACAGGCATATTAAAATGCGGATAAATCAACTCATAACCTTACAGTGTAAGGCTCGTCACCTTCCATTGTCAGTTGCACTAGTTAGTGTTGTGTGTCCTCAATCTGACAACCCGCATGAGCGTCACGTCTGAGGAGGAGGCGGGAGAAACAATATTTTGAATTTAGACCGCAGTACCCATTTCAACCACTAGCTGTCATTATTACATACTGCACATGCCTCAAATTCATGTGCTTGGACAGTTACGGAAAAACAGCATGCTGTATAAACAGTTGTTTCAGCATTTCATGGGAAAAAATGACAAATGGTGATGAAAAACACGTGAGTTGGAGTGAAAAACTTAATAGACCTATTAATATGTGCAATGCTAGAGTCATTATGTAAAGAGGTTGCATGCTGCCTTTGTCCAATCAATGATATTGACACTGCAAATATGCAAATGAGATCGTTAACCCGAGGTTTAGGAATATACAGTGCGAAACGTCATCTTATAAATACCCAGGATTAACAGTTAACTCCAAGAAAATAATAAGCAATGTGAAATATGAAGCAAGATAAACCAGGATTCTGTTAACCTGGGGTTTAGAATGACCCAGGGTTAACTAAGCCTGAAAAGACTTGTCTCCACCTACTGGCATACAATGGACCAAAAATAATTATAAGAATGATCTTTACATTTAAAAACAATATATGTATGTGTGTATGTATGGAATACCGGTTTGTAGTTATCATCTCAGGAAAAAGGGGGGAAAAATTACTTTGCATGTTTAATGCAATTTTGTGTTAAAGCATCATAACTGGAATTCCATGTAGAAGTAATAGTATGCCACTATGCTATGTACACAGCCTATAATTTGCTACTTCAATTTGCTATTTACAAGAGGCACTGGAGGGTCACTCTAAACCTGGGGTTGTAAAAAGACTAGTTTTATACTCGCAGCTACCATAATATCACAGATTTATGATGCCTAAGCATCTCAGTTTACCTCTTACTACAATAAACTTTCTATTATAAACTGTCATTCAGCCCAGTTTATAGATGTCAGTGTAAGCGATTCTGTGAGACAGAGCCAATTGTAGTATCCAAAAGAAGAAATACAGTAATTTATGTTTACAAGAACCCATGAAAACGAGGAGATCTTTCTTTAGTGGAAACTGAAGGGAGTTAAGCTCTTTTGGGGAGGGGTAAGGAGATACATTCCTCCAATAAACAGGTTAGAATATTATACTGCATTTCCAATCTGGCACGCTTATCTATTTGTGGTCAACACAAGGACCCACCGTGTCTCCCTCATGCCGCCCCATATGGCATGATGAAGCACACAGAATTCCACCGTTTGGTTGTCAGGTCGTGGATGGACTAGCTCAGCTTTGGCTCTCTCCTGCCATGCCACCATATGTCAAATTGTCAATTGTCAACCTCTGGTGCTCAGTTTGTCGACCTAGTTAAGACTATCGTCTAGGGGTGTAACGGTGTACCACATCAAAGACTGTCAAAACGCCATTTATTATTTGAATTTCCGGAGAAAAAAAAAAAAAACTGTATTCGTTCGGTTTACATGCGTACGAATACGTGTACCGTTACACCCCTACTATCGTCCCATAGCACAGTATGGACATTGGGAAATCATGCAGCCGTGTTGTGTCAACTGCATGATGACTGTCTGACTGGGCCTAAAGGAGGCACCAGATAAGCTTACAGGTCAGGACTGCACAATCCCAGGCATTGCGGGGTTTCCCCAATTAAAATTCATTCTGATCCCTGTGGAGGTGGTGGGCCAGGGAGTCAGTATTTGTTTATTTTCAGCAGTGGTAACTTTCCTTACATTTACATGCCAGCCCTAAAACAGAATATCTAATATGATCTAATATGGTCTCTGTAAAGATTAACCGTATGACGTGAATCTGGCATGTTGTCTTTAAATATTAACCGTAGGAGCACTACACTCTCTAACAATAGTGAAACTACATTAGAAAATTGTGAATTACCGGTACTTTAATCTGGGTCACTTGACAGACTGTGAAAAAAAATGAATTACTTAGAAACTTACCAAAAAATGTGCAAGTTACTTACTGATGTGCAAAAGTGTCACATGGCCTATACATTTTCACCTTGTATAATTAAGTTAAGATTATTGTAGCTGTAACATTATCAGTTGCTGTGAACACATCACCAAAATATGTAATTTACGCTATTCGTGCAAAGTTTCTGGTTGTCCATCCAAAATTTTAGGATTCATTTGTCAACACACAACCAAATCAATTTGGATCAATCAAAAAGATCAATTTATGGTAAGCAAAACTTATAGTAATTTAAATAATATTAAAAGGATTAAGATTGTTTTCAGAGAATCTTACACTTATAAAATCCCATTTTACTCCATAAATCTAATAATTTTTAGTGTGATTTATGCTCGAAACAAGAATAAAAATGCTGGTGAGGTAAAAAAAAAAAAAATCAAGATATTCAATAATTCAAGAAAAGTCTTATTACTCTAATTTAATGCTTTTCTAAAAAAATGTACACATAAAGGATGTTTAGCTATTGTTACTTGAAAGCAAGACAAAACTACAGATTAAAAAATACAAAATATTTGTTATTTAATAATCTTATAATAATATTTACATTTTATATTTATATTCTAATTATTCACATTATAATTCATTTTATGGAAGTTTTATTCCCTAGACCACAAAAAGAGTTATGAAAATGTCAAATCTGTTCTTTTCCATCCAATGAAAATGCATGTTGATAGTTGGCTGTCAGACATGCTCAGAACAGCCAATCAGTGCTCTGTGCTGACCTCTGCTGCCAGATGATAATAACGACATTGTTGAAGAAATCTCTAATTCATGCATATTTGTATTCAAAACACAAAGATCTATATATGACATAATAATGCAAGGCTGCTTAAAAAGGCACAAGACAAAATTAAGTGTGGGATGAACCCTTATAACATTCTCAGTTGTGTCCTCTCCTGACCTAATGCAATGAAAAGAATCAATAAAACAAATGAAACATGGCGTTTTTTATATAGTATAAAACCTATAGCAAAACTCTATGTATACACGTAACTTCAAAATTTGGATAAAAATGGGAAGAGCGAATGACTAATAGAGAGAGAGGGAGAGAGAGAGAGAGACAGGCGGAGGGATGATGTGGGGAGGGAAGAGAAAGGGAGGGGGAAAGTAAAAGCCAAAGGATTCTGAAAAACACAAGGAGCAGCAGAGGATTGGAAATTCGTAAGTATTATAAAAACCAATTCTTTTGAGAATATGACATCATTACAATCATCATATAACACATCATCTAGTCAATGCTTTTAACACATAGTAAAACAGAAGCAAATGTGGGTAGATAAATGATGAGATAAATATGTACAAATCTGCATTCCTCTCGAAACAACATGCAGCGGTATAAGAAATGCACACTTTATATTAAAGAGAATGCAGAACGTGAGGGTCTGCTGTGTGTTGATGCAAATGTGCACTATACAGTTGAGTTGTCAGGTTATGAATATGTAATGGCTCCCTCAGGCAAAACTATGGTCTGAGGGAATGCATATACATATGTGTTTATGACAAATGACGAGAATTTATGCATCTGTGTGTGTATATGTAAGCATGTGTGTGTGTGAGGTTGTTGAGTCCACAGAGAGGGGTGGGAATGCACATTCTTTAGTGTGAGCTCATGTCTTGGACACCGAGAAACACAGGCTTAGAGGAAAAGACTTGGGGAGAGAGAAGGAAACAGACAAAGCTGGAAGGATGGAACAGCTGTAACTGATCTCTTTAATGAGCGATTGAGAACAGAGAACTCATGTTCTGTGACATCAATAAATGAGAATCTGCATGAGTCACAGGCAAATGGAAATCTAAATAGGTTTCATCCATCTGCAGTTCTGTTTTCTCATGCAGTGTTTCTTTTAGAATTCATTTGTTCTGTCTTTCGAGGATGTCTATAAATGGTTACATTTTGGAAGTGGTGACTTCCAAAGTCTTGACAACATGGCGTGTTAAGGAGGAAATCTGCTCTGCTGGCACACAGATACACTGGGACCGGTCTGATAACTGACAGAAAACAAAATTGCATTCGCAATTGGTCTGAATGGACGAATGACTCTAGTCAGTTTTAAATAAATACTGTTCTTTTGACTTTCTATTCATCAAAGAATCCTGAAAAAATAGGTTCCACAAAAGTAAGTAGCACAATAAGAAATGTTTCTCGATTAGAATGATTTCTAAAGGATCATGTAACACTGAAGACTGGAGTAATGATGCTGAAAATCCAGCTTTGGCATCACAGAAATAAATTCCATTTTAACGCATATTAATATAAAACCAGTTATTGTAATAATATTTCACAAAATTATAGTGAAAAAAGTTTTATCAAGTACAGCCTTAACAGAATTCAAAAACATTAAAAAAAACTTACTGACCACAAACATTTGAATGGTAGTGTATTGATTTTATATTTTATATCACAATAACCTTTATTTTTTTATGCTAAAGTGGAAACCGGCTTCCATTTCATCCATTGTAATTTTGAACACACTGAAAGTATTTTCAGGCTTGTTATGATAAACATGCTTTCTCCAGGCCCTGAGCTGTGATCGGACCCCGTGAAGAAGACCCTGAAAGATGGGCAGCTATCCAGTCTCTGTGCTGTTATGCTGTTGTTTCTTTGGTAATTCCATCAAAACACGAAAACAGAAGCCAATTAATTTAATTAATATGAATGAATGATTCTTTTTGAATGCCCAGCCAACAAAACTTTTCTGCTATTTTTTCTCACAGTACTTGTTACTGTCCGGGCACAGCAAACTGGTAATTCTCAGTTTTGTTCACTAATTCAACTGTTTTGTTAAACAATTGTGTGAAAACTTGTGTGTGTGTGTGTGTGTGTGTGTGTGACCAGGCCCATGGGGAAGTTGTCACAATAATTATATCTCAGTAACTATAAAGGAGTCAGAAGTCCTAAACATTATCACATGGATATTTTTATGAGTGCCAAGGATGAGTTGTGTGATTTATCTGTCATATTTTTTTTTAAATAATGTAATTATTTAATCATTTTAGATGTTAACTTTTCCATTTATGCTGTTTTTATTTTTACCAAAAGGCTATGAAATAGTGATTCATAACTAATGGTTTTAGTGTGATTTCTAGATTTCTAGAAATTAATAAAGTATTTGAAAAATCAAGGAAACATTTATAATGAATATAAAATTTCTAGTTATGTCAAGTTGTAAATATTTTATTGGGTTGAAATTGCTATTTGCAAATCTAAAATCATTTTAAAAGTCCTATAAATGACTAGAAGATGAACAACTGACTAGAAAAGCCATGTAAATTCATCTGTAATAAAAAGTGTAAAGGAGAACAGTTATTGAAAATTATGGAATTGTGGAATTTATTTAATCATTTTAGTCAAATATTATTGTTATAAATATAATTTTAAATATTTCTGTCTTTACATTTTTAATTATATAGTTTGTGTAAACAAACAAAAAACAGAAAAGAAAAGAAAAATGAACAGCAGAAGTATCAGAAATATCTTTGGGGGCCTTCAAATACTGTGCATCGGAGTCAGAAAGGATGAGACCATTTTTAGAAAATGTCTCTCTTGTGTATATAATCTCTTGTGTATAGACTCAGAATGTATTTCATTACTTATTTTAATTACAAATAGTATTTCAAAAAAGGTATTTCCAAAAAAGTCCTTGTTGTTACTACTTACCCCCTATATGCCCTGTAAATGAACTGTATCTTTTAGCCATAACAGCAGAAATGTTCAATAGCTTTATGTAGCAGAGACTTTAAGTTATGTGTCTCTATACAGACACTGACTTTCAAAAATAAACCCACCCTGAAAAATATTCATTGACAACTAGCCCTGGTCTCCTCTACATGTTTTTAGTTTGCTGTGTGTTTCTTTTTCTTGCCAGAAATCCATGACACTGATGCCACTGCTTTGCCACCGCCAGATGAGTTTGTATATACAGTACACCATTTGCATCAACAGTAAGGCAATAGCAGTCTTGTCTGTGTCCCACAGACTGCAGAGAGGAAACATACCCCTGCACCAGGATGTACTCTGTTCATCGACCGATAAAGAGATGCATCCATTCACTCTGTCTCTACAGGTGGCTAAATCACTGACAAACACACACATCATCATTTCAAGCTGCTTTCTCTTTCTTGTTGACATTCTCCTCTGCTGAACAAAGAGATTTGTATTTGATATGGTGCATGTGAAATGAACGACATCTGTTTTCTGCAGTCTTCCAAGAGTCTATGTGATAAACAAAGAAATCTGTGTGAGAACCGTGTGCCAGCAAGACGAGATCCTGATGGGTGAGACTCTTAATATCTCAGTAACAAACTATAGAATGTGACAGTGTGGGTGGAACCTTATGTTTTTTTGAGGGCCGTATTTTTATATATATATTTTGTTATCATATATTATTTTACTCCTGAATTCCACTTATAACGGTAGTTCAGAATTCTTTCACTGTAATTTAGTTTTCAATGAGCAATTTCTACCTTCCACATTTTTCTGACAGTTTTTGCTACTAAATATTTAGGACTTCACTGCAAAGATTTAATCAATCTTAATCAATACTTTTGTCTTGTTTTGCAGTGAAAATATCTAAATATGAACTTTTATCTTAATTATTATCTTAAATTATTTAGTTTTTTTCTTGTTTCAAGCATTAATCTCACTAAAATGTGTTAGATGTATTTAAAAATAGAGAAGGATAGTATTTTATAATTAACAATTCTACAATAATTAATAATAGTATCTTCATAATTCAATATAGATTCATAATATCTTACGCTACTGTTGGCAGTCAGTAAGATTTTTTAATGTTTTTGAAAGAAGCCTTGTGCTCAGCAAGGCTGCATTTATTTGACCAAAAATAAATGAATACAAAACATACCTTTATGCACCAAGAGCTTGTAACACTCCAAAAAGAAAGGAAAAATTGAAATCGCATCATATGACCCCTTTAACACAACAAATAGGTCAATTTACATGTAGTATCATGGAATAATACATAGACTAAACTGTAGAGGGAGACAGATATGTTAAAAAAAAGACCTGGTCAGATTAGAAAACACTACAGCTGTGATACAAGTGTCTCTTCTGAGTAATTCATTGTTTTGATAAGTGGAGATAAATAATAGAAATGATGTAATGAGTTGATTTAGGGCTTGTGTCTGGTGCCTGAGATTGTTTACTGATCTCACTGCGGTCATGAATAACACATTTTTGAGACGATATGTCGACAATAGCCTATGTTTACTGATATGTAAGCGGATGGAAGACAGAAATAAATTTGTTAATTGCGTTTTTTCCAATTTTTTTCTACTTTCCGGTTTGAAAACAATGAGAAGTATCACTAGATACGTTTAAAATGTAATTTGTACCCTTCTACACTAACCTTGTTTGAGTAGCTTCTCACATGATGCCATCCACATGCATTTGACAAACGTATTTTCACCAACCTGAGGGAGAAAGAGTGATAGAGAAGAGGGAAAGAGACAAATTTTGGCTTAATCGTGTTAGACTCTTACAAAAACGGTCAACGGTTCAGAGAACTGTACGAAACATCCTTTTAAGTGATTAGCTAAATTATGTTTAAGTCAAAGGACTCTGAAAAATCGATTGCATGAGAGGCGGTGGGATGGAATGATAGAACCAACTTTTTCAAAACGGAATTATTTTCTTCTGGGTGAAGAAATTAACAGCTTTTCACTCACCACTGTCAACTTATAGATCCAGAGCACAATGCACTTGAGTCACGCATGGTTTCCACAACAACATAAATGGGAAACAGATCCCCCTACTGGACTCAAGTGGAACGGGATGCATATCAGTGAAGGAACATTTTTGTTATCTGAAATAAAACCAAGTGAGTGAACATGCAGAAATTTGCTTATACAGTGTTTTGAAGTTGCACCTTAGATAGGAGAGATATGTGGGGTAAGTTGTTGAGTTTGTACCTTTACTTGGTTACGTTTATCTTCTTATATTTACTAGAATTACCATTAAGCATAGGTGTTAAAGGGATAGTTCACCCAAAAATAAAAATTCTGTCATCATTTACTCACCCTCATGTCGTTCCAAACCTGTATGAGTTGCTTTCTTATGTTGAACATAAAAGAAGATATTTTGAAGATTGCTGGTAATCAAACAGTTGGTGGTTGCCATTGACTTCATAGTAGGAAAAAAAAATACTATGGAAGTCAATAGCAACCACCAACTGTTTGATTACCAGCAATCTTCAAAATATCTTCTTTTATGTTCAACATAAGAAAACAACTCATACAGGTTTGGAACGACATGAGGGTGAGTAAATGATGACAGAATTTTCATTTTTGGGTGATCTATCCCTTTAACAGTGTTTTTTCGATCTTATTTTCTAAGGCAATGTAGTACAGTTACAAGATAATGCGCTTTTAAGCTAATAAGCGTTGTATCTGCGAACACTTTATCTACACAAGCAGATAGACCAGACATCCCTGCTAAAAAAAAAAAAAAAATTAGAAACCATCACAGAATTTGTAATGGTTTTACTGCTAGAAAGGGAATTACTGGTTTTAATGGAAACTTCTTCTTCTTCTTCTTCTTCTTCTTCTTATTATTATTATTATGCTTTAAATGACAAAAACAAAACAGTATATCAAACAGCCAGGGGGACAACAGAGAGAGAAAAAGGAAAAAAATAAAAATAAAAATTTAAATAAATTACAATCACAGACATGCAGGACCTTTATAACATTCAAAGATTTTGAAGATAGAACACAAGTGGACAGTTTTAATTGCCATTCTATTAGTACTATGTTGAACAGTGCAAAAATAGTTTTCCAATTCTTTATAAACCACTGTAAAACAGGGCTTTTTGTTAGAAAACTTACACTTATGAATGTGAAACTTGACAAATAAGATAAACAGATTAATGACAAAAGCTTCGTTATTCAAATTATCAAAATTAAAATAACCAAAAATAAAATTTTCATAATGCAAATTAAAATGAAAATCTTTAAATACCATAACTTTTTTTTACATAACTACAGTGCCAGAAAATGTGGGGGACTGTTTCCAGGTGCAAAGAGCAAAAAGAGCAACTAACATCAATATCCTTCTTAAACTTACTGAGAAAATGTTTAACAGGATAGAATTTATGAATTATTTTGAAAGAGATTTCTTTTACCTTGTTTGTAACAAAAAACTTGTGAGGCAATAACCAAACACTTTCCCACTTAAGAGTATTTACAAATTTGGACCAATAAGCAACAGAGCAAGACTTGGTGGCAACTTCCTTTAGAAATAGTGAACGAGTAGATTTGTTGTTTTTGGACTGTGAAAAACAAATTTTACCACATATTGTATCAGTTAGATTAATTATGGGCATATCAGCCGATATCACATCTCTACATAAAGAGACTATACCAGAATTAATTGCAAAGAAAACAAGAGAAAATTCCTTCTTGGAAAATTACAGGAAAATTAAAGTGTACAAGAAACTCATCATAAGTCATAAGATACCCTTGAATATTAAATAAATGATTAACTAAGACAATACCCTTATCAAACCAGCTTTTGAGAGTATTATTTAAAACAGAGAAATCTAGAAAGTCAAGCCCACCATTTTTAAGGGAATTTATGGCAACAGATTTACGAATGTAGTGCACACGGTTCTTCCATAAAAAATTAAATAAAATCTGATTAATAATTTTAACAGTTTTATTGTCTAAATGTATAGATTATAGCATTATAGGTTAGTCTAGAAATTCCTTCTGCTTTTGGCAGAAGCACTATACCTCTAAGGGACAGAGAGATCAAAACAAAACAACGGTCACTAATTAGAAGTACAAAACGAGGATTTGTAAAGAAGAATGTCGGAGAATTTCGATATAAGCCAAGAGGAGACTGGTTTTCCTTTGCTAAATTAAGGAAACTTTGCTTCCTTTGCTCCTGTTAACAAACGTTGGTTTTCACCAGACTCACAGGCGCTTGCGCAGCGCTGACCTCAGAGGTCATCCGCCCGGAACTGCTTCCCTTTACAACAGTGAGTGCAAGCTACATTAAAGTGATTATTACGTTTTGAATATGGATATTTTTCTTACAAAAACGCAGTTGGAACGCAAGTGTTTTTTCTTTTACAGGAATACCATCCACAGATGAAAGGGAGGAGTTTTTCAAGGCTGATATTTCACATTTTTTAATATTAAGGTACAAACCTGAAGCATTAGAAAACAACTGAATAGTTTTAATTACCTGATGAACCTGGCTTTTTTAAAAATAAGGCTGTGTCATCTGCTAGTTGACTAATTAAGATATCTCTACCAGCAATATGAATTCCTTCTAATGTACTATCCTTAATAAAATGACAGAAGACTTGAGCTACAATAAGAAAGAGATATACGGAAGCTGGACAGCCTTGCCGAATTCCTCTTTCTAAGATAAATCTCTGTGTCGTACCATGTCCTAATTAGGTTTTAATGAAAACTGTAATGACACCTATTGGTCGCCCTTCTATTAGTGGCTTGTTAAAACCGCTAAATCTTAAGCTATGTCCCAAAACACACTACAGGAAACCATTTTTAATGGTTTTAATAAAAGTTGATGGTTTGTAATGGTATTTGTAGTGGAAACCATTAGAGTTTCTGTCATGGTTTCTATTGTCTTTGGGATGTTACATGAAAACAGCATAGGGTCACTGTCCAGTCACTGTCCGGAAACAAGAAATGTTAATAAACTGGAGATAGAGTGGGCAGAACTGCATAAACATTATGCACTTCCTGAGTCCCCCACGCAGAACATATAGCCTCAACAATACACATGATGTATATGCTGTGTAAACAACTGCTGTATGTAATAATTTCACAACTAACACTGACTTTACCCAATTTGGTCAAATTAGGATGTTAGGATGGGTCTTCACTCATCAACCTGGCCAAGGGCCTCTTGGTGGGTGTAACCCTGTTACAAATGACTAAATAGTACATTATTAATGTGTTTACATACATTTTGTGATATGTACATTGCAAATACCTTATTACAGTTATATAGTTGTACATTACATTTTATTTAGCTTTATTTTAATATTGTTGGGACATTTAAACATTTTTAAAGCAACCTCTTATGCTCAGCAAGGCTGCATTTATTTGTTTTAATTTATATATAAATACAGTAATATTTGAAAATGTAATTTATTCCTGTGATGGCAAAGCTGATATTTCAAAAGTCCTTACTCTAGTCTTCAGTGACATGATCGTTTAGAAATCATTATAATGTGCTGATTTGGTGTTCAAAAACATTTTTTTATTTTTTGTCAGTGTTGAAAACAGGTGTGCTTCTTAATATTTTTATGGAAACAATGATACA